GACGGAAGGAAGTAAGGATAACTTTTGCTCCCAAGCTTTGTTCTTGTGGGTCCTCATCACTTTCTTCTTGGGTCCTTAGATTGTTCATAGGATGCAGGCTAGTAACATTAACATAGTAGCATGAACTGATGGGAGAGGAAGGCCACACAGGGTTACGTCCATGCTATCGGTGAAGGTTGTGGATGTGATACTTTGTTATTCCTCTGAGAGTTTGAGGTCATTTTTGAAGGTCGCCTTGTGATTGTGCATCCATTGAATGCATTGGCATGGGCTTAATAAATAGCTGTTCAGGAATCATTTGCAAGCCCAGCCGTCATGGCATGTATAACGGATGTTTCTTGTTGTGTGAATGAATTGAGCTGAAAACTGTCTTGCTATGCATTGGAGCTTCGAGTCTGCTATGTGATAGTCATTGGCAAGACCTCGGACACGTCCGGATAGCAACCTTGACCTGAGAGGAACAGCATGTGAACTGTGGGCTGGGTGTCCAATGGAGTTTGCTGGAACTGTGGGCCCAGAGCAATTCATTTATGTGCTCAGTCTGGTATCCTTTTTTTTTTGTGTGTGTGTGTAACGTGTGCGTCGTCAGTGGTCAAGCTTCAGATTTGCTTACCAGAGGTTACCGCACTAGGGCGGTTGTGAGCGTCAGACAGGCAACTTTTCAGTAGTTTTTCATCCAGTTAGTCCATTCACCAGAAGCTTAATCATGAACAAACAATGTCAATGGCCGTACGCCTAAACTGTTGAAATACAGGCCGGAATTCAAACTCCGCAGGAAGCAGATGAGTGACATACTGCAACTCTGAATTACTTAAAGCTGGTCAGTTCGATATGTGCCTGATTGAAATGAGAACATGCGCAATGACAAGAGATCTTGGAGAGAGCAAATCACACCACGCCAAGTGAGAGAATACACAGCGGAAGCACTCAAAACCAATAATAGAATTGAAATCAATCAATTCTAAATTTCTAATTAATTCTCCACTCCCTCCAGCCAATCAGCGCACTGTTTTTGCCAAGAATCCCAACCACGTTATTAACACCCAGATACCAATTATTTATACAAGTTTCATCGAAGTGTCTGGGAGTCTTCTTCTTCCTCCCTCCAGTCAAGCTCTAGCTATGGCGTGGCTCAGCGCCCATCCCAACAGCCCATGAGTCGCCCCCAACCCTCCTGAACCTAACACACCACTTGGCAGTCCAATCGCGATGTCCACTGCAGATGAAGTGTCCACCCAGCAGGGGCGAGTAGCTCCCTGGACGGCGAAGAAGAGAACCAGTACGATGAACATGAAGATGGTTGCCCTTCGTAGAGCCCTGCGATGGAGAGCCTTGAAGTCAACCCTGTCAAACCCCAACAGGACAGAATAAGGAGGCGCCAAACAGCACTCAGGGCCCGGTGCCCGTGCACTGCCACCTAGCAGAGATGACAAGCCCAGCTATGGCTGTCAGCTCCCTGGCGATGACGATGCCCTTGCACAGCTGAAATGAGCACAGCAATGTCCAGCACACTCTGCGGCAGCACTTCGTGAAAAGAGCAATGGAAAAGAACTCGTTCCCCTTTGCCCTCGACACTTTTCTAGACTTAGGTTGCACTGACTCGACTTACCCTACAGCCTAGGACCGACAGCCTACAGCCTTGGATCGAATCTGGACTTTTTTTTTCCCACTCTGCTTCTGGTTTCCCTCCTTCCTGGCGCAGGCCTTGGTGGTTGCCTTCGTACCCCGCCCAACACCTCACTTCGTCCGAGTGCAGCCTTCCTCGTTGCCGTCGAACCGCGCGCCCGCCAACGGAGTCGACGCCCCCCGAACGCCATCGCACTGCCCGCCAACGGGGTCGACGCGCCCCGAACGCCATCGCGCTGCCCGCCGACGCGCCCCGACGCCCCCCGACACGTGCCACGGTGAGTGTGTTAGTACGAGGAAGTGAGAGAGAGAGAGAGAGAGAGAGAGAGAGAGAGAGAGATCTTCTTCTTCTTCTTTTTCTTCTTCTTCTTCTTCTTCTTCTTCTCCTCCCTCGCTTTTTCTTCTTCTTCTCCTCCTCCTTCGCTTCTTCTTCTTCTTCTTCTTCTTCTTCTTCTTCTTCTTCTTCTTGTCGCTCTTCCTCTTCCTCTTCGTCCTCTCCTCCTCCTTCACTTCTTCTTCTTCTTCTTCCTCCTTCTCTTCTTCTTCTGCTTCTTCTTCTTCCTCTTATCCTCCTCCTCCTCCTCCTCTTCTTCTTCTTCAACTTCTTCTTCTTCTTCTTCTTCTTCTTCTTCTTCTTGCCCCCCCTGCCCGCCATCAGCGACCTCAAGTTCCGAATTTTTTTTTATTATTATTTTTTATCTGCCTTGTGCGCGCGCGTGTTGGGCCGCGTCTCGTACACCAACCCCCTTCTTCTTCATCGTCATCTTCTTCTTCTTCTTCTTCTTCTTCTTCTTCTTCTTCTTCTTCTTCGTGGTCCTCTAGTGCAGTGCAGCACAGCCCACCCCCAGCATCCCCCCCCCCCCCCCCCCCCCCCCCCCGGCCCAACCCCCGAGTTCGCTTTTTTATTGCGGATTCGGGGCCCTCTGGTGCAGCACAGCACAGCCGGCCGGGCGCCGGCCCAGCCTAGTTTTTTTTTTTGGGAGGAAACAACCCTGGCGGGTGCTAGGGATGCTGGTGAGAGCAGACACCGCTAGCACTGCCGGGGGAGGCTCCATCCATTGGTGGGGAGCAGCACCTGCTGGAAAGGGGGTCCAGCGTCCCAGAACATTGTGATTTTTTGTGTGACAGCAGCATTTCATTTTTTGTCTTCAATACCATAGTTCGCTCCGTGGTCAGCAGGTTGGGAGGGACTGTCATCATTTGTTTTTCTTTTTTCTTTTTTAAGTTTTTTTAATACAAACTGAGTTATATTCTTTTTTTGATTAGCTACCTACCACCTAAGCCTATACAGGACCCCTGCAAGCATAGCTACCTCTCAAAATTAAGGGAGTGCATGTTGCCCCCTGCCCTAATCGGTGGTGATCAGGGGGCATTGTGGGGCCGCTGGTTGGGGGGGCCCGGTCAAAAAGGCCTGTGGAATAAAGGGTGGAAACGGAAATAACCTTCTAACTTGTCTGATTCTTCGGAAGCCCAGCTCTCATCCCATTGCCTGACCCACTCTGTTCCTCGTCTGAGTGTGTGTACCTGGTCCCAACTCCTTTCATTCCTTTCCTCTGCATATATGTGCGTTCCCCGTTTTCTTTTTGTTTTTTGAAGAATGTCACATTGTTATACATGCTGGAAACGGGGCCCAGCACCATGCTTCCTTCCATTATCGCTGAAGGATCCTGAGACAGCGGCTTGATTGCAACCCTGTTAGGGAGAGGATTTACTGCTGCTCCACCCCTGCTGTGAACCATTGGCCTTCCCTTCGTCTCTTTGGGTTGTCCCCTACCCCCCTGTTGGAAGCAGGTTCCAGCATCCTCTTATCCTGCTACTATGCTGGAACCGGGCTCCCCAACTTCCCGTTGCCCTGCTACTAAGCTGGAGACCCGGTCCAGCATCCCCTTTCTTTCCCATGGCCCCCTGCCTCTGGTACGATGCTAAACTAAGGATGGAGGCACTCCTCATACTAATGCACTGATGCATCGTCCAGGCCGACCCAGTACGAGACAGACTGGGTCAGGCAGGCGACATGCATAAGGTACTGGGAGCAGGCTTGGGTGTTTGTTCCCCGTTTGTTAGGTCGGTCGTTTGTTTATTAGTGCGTGTGTGCGAATGTGCGCGTGACTGAATGCCACCAAAAACGGGTGACTGTGAGAGATGGTTTCTCCAGCATTTCACTAGCTAATCAGGTGGTTGAACCTCAACAACCTGGCCAGGATGCATTTGGCTGATGGAAAAGGACTTACCACCTTCCCCAAAATTAGCAATACCCTAGAGAAAAGTGGTTGACTTGGCTCACGCCAACACTGTAGTGATTCCGGGGAAACTAGTTCATCACAGCGGTAATGACCCGCCAAAACACGGACTGAGAACACAGCTGATTTCTGAGTTTTGCCGATGGAATGGATGCCTTTGCAAGGAAGATGAGCAATAGCGAACTTCAGCAATCAAACAGCATCATACATATGAGTCCAGATAGTCTTGACCTCGAACCAACAGCAGAATTG